CCCCCCTCCCCCCTCCCCCCCACCTCGTGCCCCTGCCCCGGCTCTGTGTGCCCCCGGCCCGGCCCGCCTCAGTCTCCCCATCTCCCTCCCGGCTCCGCACCTCGCCGGCCACCTCTCTCCCACCTCCCGCTCGCTCTGCCTCTCCGGGTCCCCCTCCCTCCTGCCTCCCCCCCCCCCCCCCCCCCCCTTGGCCCCTCTCATTTCCGTGTTGGTTTTGATTTCTCTTCCCGACGCTTTCAACTCCCCGCCGCCTCCTCCGGACACGTTATAACGAGGAGCCGTGGGATCGGCGCTCCGGGCCCTGCTCCCACGCTCCCCCCGCGTCTCTCACACGCGTCTCTGCCGTCTCTGCCTGCCCCTTCTCTGTCCCCGCCTCTGTCCGGTCAGGCCCACAGGGACTGGGTCCCTGCCCCGACTGTCGGGGTCCACGGAGCCACGTCTCTGGGTCCCCACGTCTCCCTGTCCCCACACCGCTCTGTTATGTCTCTGGGTCTCCACGTCTCTCCTCCTCACATCCTTGTCTCCAAACAGGCATCCTTTAGTCTCTGTCTCCATCTCTGTCTCTGTCTCCACGTCTCTGTTTCCGTCCCAGTGTTCGTCTCTTGGGGCCCCTTTGATCTCGCCCTGCCCCTGGCGCCCCCCTGGCCCCATTGATCGCTGATCGACCAATGGAAGGAGCGGGGCCTGCGGGGGGGGCGGGGCGGGGCTGCAGGGCCAGGCAGGGGCCCCGGTAGGACGCTGGACAGACGGACAGCCGGCCCCAGACCTGGTAGCTGGGGAGGGGGAGCTGCTGCAGCCCCCGCCCCACCGGTCCGCGCCGTGCGGATGGGGACTCCGGGCAAGCTTTAATTTTTAATTTTATTTTGCTTCCTCCACCCCCCCCCCGCCCCCCATCTCCACCGCCTGCAGCCATGGCACTGAGTGTGTGCGCAGCAGCGTGGAGAGGGGCTGGGCGGGCAAGACGCTGCCGCTCTCCTCTCCTTGCCAAGCAGACACACAGCCCAGGCGCACACACCACACCACCCCACACATCCCACAGACACGGGTCAACAAAATTACACACACCACACCAAACACAGACTCGGGTCAAGAGCCACACTGTCACAACACATCACACCCAGGTCAACCAAGTGATATACACCACGCTGTCATGCACAACACATCCCACACAGGTCAACGAAGTCCCACATATCACACCATCACACGTCACACACCCTCAGCCAAGTGACACACACACCACTGTCACACACAACACACATCACACCGTGTGATGCACACGTCAACAATATCGCATGCAACAAGACTGTAACAACCAGCACACAGCACATAGACCCACACAGCAACCTAGGCTCATGTTCCACCATGTCCTACACAATACGCGGACATACAGGTCCACACAATCACACGCTTCATGACTGTCACACACACACACACACCAGGATGGCCACAGATATTCACAGAGAAACAGACACGCGGTTCTAGACACACATACAAGACACACACCAATTCAACGCCCCACAGAAACAAAGACACACAATCACCAGTCGTGGACAGAAACCCACTAACGCAGACACGTAAGGACACACTGAGGCTCACAATCAGAGGCAGACCTACCGACTTACAAGCACACGCTGACTCGATGCCACACAGAAACAGACGTACCGGGACACATACCCCAGCACAGCCAAGGCAGTGCCACACACGTGACACACACCGAGGGTCCCACAGACAAGCACCAAAGGCCCGGCGTGCACACTGCTCCAACACACACGGAGCCAGAGATGCCACGTGACACCAATACAGCCACCATGAGACCACAAACACACGTGGACACACACACACACACACACACACTCAGACCCAAAGGCCAACTGGTTGAAGGGCTGTGTCGGGGTGAGGTGGGCACCGGGAGCTGAAGCCACCGCGGGGCCCCCGCTGCTCCGGCCACCATCTGTGCAGCTGGCTGAGTGCCCCCCGTTCTGTGCACTTCGCAAGCCTGTGTCAGCACGTGTGAAATGGGCACGGGCTCGGGCCTACTTCCGCTGCCGGATCTCCAGGGACGGCGGTCCCCAGACGCCTTCAGGCCCACTGGGTGCCAGGGTCCCTCGCACGGAGGTTTTTGTTGTCCTCTCTGCCTGCCTCTAGCTCCAAAGATCTGTTTCTGATGTGCTGTGTTTCTTGTCTCTGTCTCGGGGCATCTCTCTCTCTCTCTCTGGGTATCTCTGGCTCTACACGTCTCTCTCTGTCTCTGTCTCCTCACCCCCCATCACCCTGGCCCCCTGGGCTGGGGTTTAACCAGTTGTTTTGATTTCTCTAAGCTGCTCCGGCCGCCTCGGGAGCCGCCTCAGGCCTCACCCCCCCCCCCCACAGCCCCTTCATCCCTCACCCAGTACCCCCTCCCCTTAACACAATCTGCACAAGTGGAATGAAAATTGATTTTTTTTTTAAATTTCATATCTTCTCCAGGGCTCTGTCTAAAGAGGAGAGAGACACGGCCCAAGACCCTTCTCCTGCCGCCACCCCCCGCCCGTGTGCGCGCAGGCGCACACACACACCAACAGGCAGACACATCACGCCTGGACACACACACTCGGACACTCATCTGCCCCCACCCCAGGGACACACCCCTCCCTATGCCACACACGCACGTAGGACACAGCTGTGCACACAGCAGACACACAACAGACTCCTGTACACACGCTCTAGACGCCCCCCAAGGAGGCACACATCACACACCCCGTCCCATCTGGGCACACAGAGCACAGCGGCCTGACCCAATATAGTGTGCATGTTCTCACACACACGCACACACACGCACTCCTGTCCCTACAGATTATGGCCACGTCCATGTGCACACAGGCTCAAGGGCGGCCCCACTGTAGGCACCAGGGAGGCCCCTGGGGCCGTCCCGGGGAGGACTGGGTCAGGAAGGTGACAGTGGTTTTCCTGCCTGGACTTGCCCCCCCCGAACCCCTAAGGTCACCCCACTCCCACCCCAGCCTGCAGCAACCAAATGCTCTGGCATGGCCCAGGGCGGAGGCGTCTCTGTGCCTGGGATGTAGGAGTGCCTGTGTACGTATGTACGTACGTGTGTGTAGAGAAAGACAGACAGACAGACACACACACACACACACACACACACCACTCACTACTCCTTTCAAAGCCACACACTGTCATCCCCACAACAGGCTGGTGTATACGAGAACTAGCCCATCCCCACACGGGGCACACAAGACCCACGGACAGAACCACACACACAGGCCCACAGAATCCACACACCACACACAGCAGCACCAAACACGTGGCCGTGCCCACACGTCATCACAGACACGCGGCCTCACGCATCCATCGCCGGGCGTCCTCCGTTCACACAAGTAGGGCACACATGTCCCATCCGACAGTCACACACAAACCCGCAACCGCAAGCACACAAAGCCCTCAGCACCGTCTAGGGCACACGCAGGATCCTTTCGTGTCTGATCCCAGACGCACACAGGAGCCCACAGGCTCAGAGACACAAGAGCAGCCCCAGACCACAGAGCACACCGCCACACCGGCCCCCATCGCCAGCCGTGATGCCCAGTCTGGGGGGGGGGCAGGGATTTTTGTGAGCACACCCCACAGCTGCCCCTTCCCTGTGTTTCTCCCACGCACACTCACCAGCCCGGCGCTTGGGGTCTGGCAGCCCCTTGGTCCTTCCACCACGCCTCCCTCGGCCTACTCGGTTCCTTGCCTGCACACAGGTGCGCTGCCCCGGTCACTCAGACACGCCGCCACAACTCCAGAGTTTCGGGCGGTCACACCGGACGCTCACAGCCAAGCAGCACACGGCAGTCACGCACATGCTCACAGACGCGGCTCAGATGGCTTCTCACGGCCCCGTGGTCTCACGCTCCCACACTCGCTCACCTGTGCTCACACACACACCACCACGGGTCACACCTGCTCGGCCTGCAACACAAGTCCCAGTCACACGAAGACAGTCAAGCCCCCCCCCCCCCCCCCCCCCCCGCGCAGTGTCACACACACAGTTTTAGACACACCCGCACACACCCCGGAACCTCTGCCGAGGCTGCGCTCTGCAAGAGAGACAGAAGGACAAACTGGCAGACAGACAAGGCACCAGCTTCCCAGCCTGGAGAAGGTGTGTCTGTGACACGCGGTTTGGGGTAGTTGGGAGGCAAGGAGCCAGGGCAGGGATAGAGACCTCCCACCCACCCTCTCCCTGTCTCTGCCTGCAGCTGGTGTCTCTGCCTGTCATGTGTCTCTGGGTCGGTCCCTCTCTCTCCCTCCCTCCCTCTCTCTCCCCCTGAGTCCCAGTCTCTGCACGAATGTCCCTGGGGCTGTGGCCAGCACGCGGAACCATGTCAGTTGGGGGGTGGGGGGGAGCATCCCCAGGGAGGTGGGAGCCGCAGTGCCACGCACCCCGCCTACCAAACAGCACTGGGGGAGGGGAGGGGAAGGGAGGGGAGGGGAGGGGAGGGGAGGGGCGCAACCATGGATGTGGATCCAGAGCTCAGGCTGCTTCCCTACCCCCTGCCCTTGCTCTCAGAGACCCCAAGAGATGCAGGAAGCGCAGGGGGTGGGGGGGAAACAGAAGGAGAGATATCTGGGGGGGGGGGGGGGGGGGGGGGGGGGGGGGGGGGAAAAACAGGGGGAGGGGGGGGGGGGGGGGGGGGCGCAGAGACAGAAGCAGGAAGCAACACCTACCGGAAGACAGATGGGGAGAGAGACCAGAGAGACACGGAGAAAAGATGGGAGATCAGAGAGTCCTGCGGAGATGGGAAAGAACAAGACCCTGAAAGAGAGACAGAGTGGGGAGGGCGCGGAGCTAGGGAGACCCAGAAAAGGGGAGTGAGTCAGAGCAGCTTGGACAAAGTGGATTAGGGAGCGGAGGTCGGGAAGAGTGCTGCTCCAAGGAGGGACCCCAGTCAAGGAGGAAGGAGGGGCAGAGATGCGGAAAATTAAGGGATTAGGGCAGAGGCAAAGGAGTGGACAGGGAGGGCAGGGGCTGCTGGGCAGAGGCAGGAGTGAGGGGGGAGCATAGGTGGAGGTTCAAGGCCACACCCAGCTGCAGTCCTTGGAGGGGGGTTCGTGTCCCAGGGGCCTGACCCGGCTCCTGGCTGCCACCCCAACTCCTGCCCCTCCTCACCTCCACTTGGCCCATTCCCACCTCCCGCCTCATCCTGAACCCCAATGTCTTCCCAAGGCTCCTCAGTCCCAGCTCCCTCCCCTGGCTCATCCCCACACCCCAGGCCCCACCCAGCTGCAGGGCTGGACCTTTTGGCCCCAAGCCCCTTGTACTAGAGACAGTGACACACGTGCAGGGCCAAGACTGTGACTGGTGGTGGAATCCAGGGACAGAGAGCTGAAGGCAAGCGGGGCCAGCTAATCCCAGGAGCCCAGAGTCCCAGAGCCCCTCTGGGCTGTCACAGCCAAGAGGCAGGGGCACTGTGTATCTTGTTCATGGGGCTTGGCACGGAGTATGTGCCCAGGAAATGTTGTTTAAATGAAATTCAGATCAAAAGAAGCAAGGCCGGGAGACAGAGAGATAGTGAGTCAAGGGGCAGAAAGCCAGAGACCAAGGGATAGCAAGACCTGGGGTGAGGGGCCTAGAGACGGGGGACAGGAGGAGACAGGAATGAAGCAGAGAGGCAGGGGGACGGGTAGATGGAGGACCGACACACAGGAATCAGGGGGACAGGGAAACAGATGGGGGAGAGGGGTGTGAGGGAGGGTCAGAGAAAATGAGCAGATAAATGGGGTCAAAGACCCAGGAAGGCAAACGCAGAAAAGGAAGAGAGCGGTAGGGAGACAGGAGATCGGGGGCAGGGCCTGATAGCCCGGGGCCAGGTGTGGGGCCTGGGCCGGCTAGAGCTGGGGGCCTGGGCTGCAGGGGATCCCATGAGGGCCAGAGAAGGGCCGGGGTCCGGCCGGGCTGGGGGAGGCTCGGGGCTCCAGGGGCATCGCATGGTGCTAATTCAGCTCCATCGATCAGACGGGATGAGAGCAATAAATTATTGTGACAAGATGCAATCCTGGCCCGCGCACTGCCGCCGAGGCGGATCGATCCCTGTCCCCAGCCCCACACCGGGGCCCATGCCCAAGCCCTGGGCCGGAGGCCTCTACCCATCTCTCTCTCCATTCCCCCACCACACACACTCCCGCTGACAGCCAGGTGGGGCAGCAGCCCTGGGAAAGAGACGGGGACAGAAAGGGAGCCTTGGCGGGAAGACCAGCCCCTCTCTGTCCCAGGTCCTCTTGGTTCCCCTCACCACCCCATCCCTCACCACGACCTGGGAGGTAGCAGCTACCAGGATGCCCATTTCACAGATGTGAAAACTGAGGCTCAGATAGGGAAAGTAACTTGGCCAAAGTCCCACAGGGGTGGGTGGTGAGGCCTGGACTCAAAAGTGGGTCAGCATGACTTCAAGCCCCCCCCAAAAAACTTGCACCGTCAGAGGAGAGAACAAGGGACCAGGAAAGAAAAGGGAGGATGCAGAGAGAGCCTGAGAAAGAGACAGAGTACAGGACACAGAGAAATAGTCAGACACCAGAAAAAGTTAAGATACAGAGACACCGAGAGAGAGAGACAGAGGTGGAGAAACACAGAGAACAAGGAAACAGGGAGGGAGGGAGGGAGAGACAGAGAGACACAGACTCAGCTTCAGAGACAGGCAGCGGGGAGGTGGGCAGCCTGAGGCAGAGATGGAATAGAAGAAGCGAACAAAGGCAGGGTGGGCAGAGAGGAACGGAGCTAGGAAAGAAGCCCGTGGAGGGATGGGTAGTTCCGGAGAACACGATGTGTCTGAGGGGACAGGTGTGTGGTGGCAGGAGCTGGGCTGGCTCCAGGCAGCTGGGAGGGCAGGTGGGAGTGAGCACGCGGATGGCGAGCTTGGCCCCGGGGGTCCGTGTCTGAAAGAGGCCAGGTGTGCGGGCAGGAAGGTGGGGCGTGTCCGAGGGCAGGAGTGGGGGGAGAGGGGGAGGCTGGGGTGCAGAGAGCTGGCAGCGTGATCCAGAGACGCTGCCCAAGCGACAAGGCGGACAGAGGTGTCCGCGAAGGAGGAGGTCACCTGGTAGCCAGGTGTGGAGCTAAGGACACCTGGATGACTGAAGTCAGATGGCCTCTGAGATCGCCCAGTTCCTGAGACCTCCAAGAAATAACTCCACTTCCCCGGGCTCAGTTTCCTTCTCCGTACAGTGGGGCTAAGAGAAAGGACGTGCTTCATATGGTCTGGTGAGGATGAAAGGAGACCGTGGTTAGGAAGAACTGAGAACACTGCCTGTCAGAGAGACAGGCTTAATAAGCAGTAGCGGGATGGGGCGCCTGGCCGCGACTCTTGATCTCAGGGCTGTGAGTTCGAGCCCCATGCTGGGCGCAGAGATTACGTAAAAATACAATCTAGGGGGGAAAAAAAGCACTAGCTGGGAACACGGGCCGAGTAGGTAGCTGCTACTCCAGGGGTGGTCCATGGACCTGCAGGAGCAGCACCTGGACCTTGTGAGGCATGCAGAGTCTCAGGCTCCACCTGGGTCAGACCCACCGCACCAGAAGCTCTGGGGTGAGGCCCAGAGCCGTGTGTCCCAGTAGGCCCTGCAGGGGTTCCCGATGCCCGCAGAAGTCTGAGAACCTCTGGCGTAAGGGAGTCCGTACAATGCAGCGGGCAGGTGTGGGGACGGCTGGGAACAGTTGTCCGGTGTGTTTAACAAATGCTACAGGTGGTACTTACGCCCATCAAGAAAGGTGTTCCCTGAGAGATGGCTGGTGACGTGTTCTGTGAAAAGGGACAGGTATTTCCAGAGGGGAGCAGGCTGGAGACAGGTGTGAGGGACCTGAGGGGTGGGCGCTAAACGTGTGGGGGCGACAGCTTGCGCGAGCAGCTAGTGCGGATGGGCTGAGAGATGGGTACACAAAGTCTGCAAAAGGGGGGCACCTGGCCGTCTGTCAGTAAAGCCTATGACTCTTGACCTCGGGGTCCTGAATTCAAGCCTCGCACTGGGTGTTGGGCTTACTTTAAAAAAAAATTTTTTTTTTTAAAAGAAAAAGCTATGAAAGGACAAGTTACATGGATGTCATGGGGGGAGGAGCGAAGGGGACTTGATGTTGGTGCACGTCTGTGGGGCAGGAGTGGGGACAGGCTGGGGACACCAGGGGGATGGCAGAGACCCACCGGAAGAGAAGTAAGCAGAGAGAGATTAGGGAGGGGCAGGTGGGGACGTCTCAGCACCTGTTTGCCAAAGAAATGAGGCGGGGGCGTGGACCTGGAGCAGGCGATGCCTGGGGCAGACAGCTGAGGAAGGGGCCAAGGTGTAGAGAGATTGGTGTGACCTTGGGCAGCAGGGAAGGAGGAAGTGAGAAACATGGGAAATCAGTGGTGTGGGTAAAGAAGAGAAGCAGACATTACCCAAGGGACAGTGTGGGGAAACAGGTATACAGGTCAGGCAGGTGTCTGTGGCCAAGGACAGAGTCCCTGCCCCAACCTGTGTATGTGGGAAGCAGCGTGGTGTGGTTGTGTGTCGTGAGATAGTGAAACGAAGAGAAGCAGAGACAGAGAGACAGTGAGAAGGAAGGAGGTGAGCAGCAAGTGTGGAGGCGAGACAGGGGACTTTCAGAGGACAAGGGCTTGTAGGAGGGGGACATGAGGAAGGAAGATGCACCTGATACCCAGGGACCATGGCATGTGTGAGCAATCAAGCCGTGCTGAGGTCAGGAGACAGGTGGGGCAGGTGCACATGTTGTCTGGGATGAGTTACCTGAAATGACAAGTGGGAAAGAAAGAGGTGGAAGTAGGTACCTCTGTGTAGGGGGATGGGGGCCGGCAGAGGGCACGGGGTGAAGCAGGTGTGTTCCCCGGTGACATGTGCGCGGGGCAGCTCCTCGGGAAGGACGGGGCTGAGGGTGGCCGAGGTTAGCGCTGTGAGGGAGAAGTCTGGGA